CAACTAGCATCTAGGATGTGAGATGCTCCCTTAGCTTCAGGGAGAGGGCCAGCCCCTGCACCAGGCGGTCCTCTCCTCAGGTCACGGTCATAACAAGTATGAAGCCAAGCAGACATTCCAGGTCTAGATGCTGTGTTCTCGCTAAGTGGCTTTTAGTACCAAGTGTCTGACAGTTTTTATCTTGGGTCCTTTTCCCAACAATACCAAATACCACGAATCAACACCGTAGTCTCCATCTTGAAGATGAAAAAGCCTTGGTTTGGAAAGCCTGCAAGACACCCAGGTCACAGAGCTCCTAAGGACAGAGCTGAGAGAAGAATCCAGAGAAGTTTGATTCTGAACTCTGAGTGTTTCCACTCTGGTGGAAAGCACATCGGAGGTGGTAGGGGACTCAGCAAGCCTCGAAGGGGTGATGAGGGCTGCAGGGGCCAAACACCCACAGGAAGCCCACTGCTTCATAGACTTTGTTCTTCTTAAAGATTTTCCCCAGACCCACGAGATGGCTCATATCTGTAAAGGGGCTTGTCACCAAGCTGGATGGCCTGAGCTCAGCCTGACAACCCACATGGTAAAAGGAGAGAATGGAACACACAGGGGTGTCTTCTGACCTTGCTGTGACCTCTGTGTATGTGTGTATGTGTGTGTGTGTGTGTGTGTGTGCGCGTGCATGGGTAAAAGAATTATTTTAAAGTATCTCTGGAGCTGGAGAGCGCAATTAAGAGTATTTGTTGCTCTTGTGGAGAGGATCAGAGTTCTGTTCCCAGCACACACACGAAGACTCACAACTGTCTCTAACTTCAGTTCCACGGGATCTGGCTCCTGCTGAAGGTAGTTCACACACATGGTGAACATTCACATACCCAGACTAACACTGATACACATATATAAAAATAAATATATTTTTAAAAATCTCCTCAGTCTGAGTATCTCATTTTCGACCATCCCAGAGAAAAGTGATTAATTCTGGGAAACAGACGGTGGGGTGAGGGGGATGCATCCTTCCGGGAGCCCTTGAGAGCTGGGAATTGACCTCAGTCTCGGCCCAGTATCCATCTCTATCCTCAGTCCAGAACTCTCTGGTTTGAACCAGGGGAAGGAAGCCAGCAGGAGGGTGAAAGAAAAGGCTTCCCTCAGCCATGGCAAGCCCACAAGGGAAGAGAAAGGAGCCAGGGCCTGGGAGAGCCCGGAAACAACGACTGGCCAAGACAACGAAGAACTAATGACCCAAGGACATCCGGCAGCTTCACTTGTTTACAGGGCCCTTCCTGGAAACATGGGCTTCCAGGAGTGAGTGGCCTAACACAAGCTACCACAGGTGACAGGAGAGGGTGTCTAGCAGAACAACCCGCTCAGGTCTGGAAGTAGCCCTGCTGCTGGTCAGCGGGGCTTCTGCTCCTGGTCTCAAATCAGAAGGAAGCGGCTGCGCACCAGATCCATCTGTGAGGCCTGTCTTAGTTTCACTTTGCTTCTCCTAGAACTACTCCTTAGCTGAGAGGCAACTACAAGGATACTGGGGCGGGGGGGGGGGGGCCTCCAGAGAAAACCCCTAAGCAGGATGACAGATCTTCTAGCCTGGCTTTGCTGGGGGACTTGGAATAAAGGGGGTTAAGAGCCACATCATAATCGGGCTCACCACATTGAGCTTGCTAGCTATCTCTGCCTCGGTTTCCCCATTGCTTTCAAAGCCACCTACATCATTAAGGTGAAGATGTAAGCTTACACACACACACACACACACACACAGAGTCCTCTGCACAACACTGTGAGAGACGTGGAACTACTACTCAACAGATTTGAGATGTGTGCCCACATCTATAGAGCATGCGCAGTGACACTCGGGCTAATTTCAAACAGGATCCACAGGCAGCCCTGAACATACCTGCACAAACCTAAGCCCATAGGCTCCAGGGTGCTGCATGAAGCTGTCCCCTAAAGCCAAGGACAGAGTCTGCCGTGGCTCAGCACTGCCACCTTGGAAAGGTGTCGTGAGGCAGCCTGCCTGGGGCTTCCTTCTCCTTCACCTTTGACCTTTAGTGATGCAGGATGGAGAGGGCCAGCTCTTTTCAAACAGAACTTCAGCTCCTTAGGATTTCAGTTCAGTAAGGACCGTGAGAAACACTCATTCTTCTCCAGGATAAGGGTAAGGAATAGACAAGGCTGAGGAGACCCTGGGTGCTACCAGTAACAATGCACAGAACCTCAAAGGAAAGAGATGTGCCAGACTCCTGGAGAGAGCAGCCTGTTCCTCTGCAACTCCCAGATTCTCCTGGGAGACCTCCACAGGGCAGCACTGGCCTCTGACCCTGCTAAACTCTCCCTCTCCACCCACTGATAAAGCATTAATCTCCACGCACAGAGCAGGACAGCAGAGGGTCCCCTCTCTGGTGCTTCAGGGCCTGAACAACATTCTGAAGAAAGGAGAGGGTCCTAACAGAATGGGAGTTTCCCTGAGGGGGTATGTATATGAGCAGAACAGAGAGGAATGGATGGGGATAGGGCAAAGTGCCAACATCAGACTTATCCAAGGGTCTCTTGCCCTACTCTGGGATTAAGGCCAGGGGTGTGTACACATGACACCCCAAACTGTTTCCACCTCAGACCAAAAAGGGAGCGCCTACCTCAGCTTGAAAAGGTCAGGGGTCAGGTAGAGACCATCAGTCTCTAAAGGAGGTCCCACATGCTAGCGGTCACCCCCTCCCCACCCCTCACCCCCACCCTAGGCACTGAAAGTGGCAGGCTAGCAGTGTCTGGGGCACAGGGAAGGGCTTTAGAGTTCCTCAGCTGGAAGGAAGCCCAAGGCTCCAGGAGGCCCACTGTAGGCTGGGGCTTCACCAGTATCAGGAGTAGGAATGTGGGCCGCTCATGGCTGAACTTTTCCCACCAGGCAAGTCAGGCAGGGGTACTTTTAGCCACTCTCCTGTCCCTTCCTCAGTAACTGTCCCGGGCCCTGCTCAAGGATAGCTTGCCGTCCCAGAGGCACTTCAGAAGTATTAGCTGGAGTCAGCTGTCAGTGGCCTTCTGCTAAACTACTACTTGAAATGTGCCCTGACTCTGGGACTTGGTCCTTTCTCCCAAGGCTGAGGAGACACTTCTAGTCCTTAGGTCTGAAGACCTGACCGTAGCTCAGGTCCATGCTTGACTGCCAGGGTGAGATTGCTCAACCTCGCTCCACTCCCCGTCCTTATCTCTGGCATCAACCCAACTCTGCTGTTCTTCTGAGGGACAGAGTCCGCCCTCCCCTGACAGGGGCAAGCGCCTAAGTGTCTGTGGGGCTGAGACGGTGGGACGGACGTCTCAACCAGAACAACTGGAGCTGCTACTCCGAGGCTATCCAGGATGCTTGCTGGCTTGCAAACCCCACTCCTCTGCCAATTCCATCCAAACTTCAAGGGAAGTGGGAGGCAGGGAGGGATAAAGGAAAAGAAGAAGAGAAGGAGACACCAACAATCAAACACCATGCCTGATACAGCTGGGCACAGCCTGTCCCACCGTCCACAGAAATCAGTTGCGGGGCTGGGTGGGGTGGGGATCTTGAACCACAAGCAACCCAGTCCCTCCTGGAAAAAGCTCTGAAGGGAGGGTCTAGGATCCCTTTACAGGTCACCAAGAGACCACCCCAGGGACCACAGCTTTACAGAGGAAAACTCTCCCTTTGCTTGCAACTTCCTGCTGGGAAGCTTGGATTGTCAGTTTCAAAAGCCGGTTGGGCACACACACAGGATCGGAAAAGGCTCTCGAAAGCAGCCATGTGTGAGCCACAAACTGAAGGGGGAAAAGGAGGGTTCGAAAGAGAGGGAGACAGAAGCCCCAGAAAATGGAAGAAATGCTCAAAGGAACAGCATGAACATACAGACAGCATGAGCAATTGTACCTCAAGTGAGCAAGGGCTCCTGGAAAGCCCAAGAAGTTACCAGAGGGGCCGAGACACCCCCACATCAACACTGTTTGGCAGCAGGCTTTCTTTAGCATCCAGCTCCTTGAGGTCTGTGCTAAGACAGATCACCAGGAGCCCTGAAAAGCTGCCCTCCCGTATCTCCCAAGGTTCCACACAGTGGGAAATAGTTGAGGGGCAAAGTCCCCGTTCACGGAGGAGATAAACCACATTAATCAGTAGTCACATACAGGCAGCTGATCAGGGCTGGAAGCACATGGTCCTCCCACACTCAGCGCTGTAGCAGCTTCCCAACATAGATAGTAGCTTCCAGGACTCCAGTGGATGCCCCACTATAGCCAACTGCCCTTGGGTTGCCCAGAGGCCTGGCTCTGCTGCTGTACGCCGTCCCCTCCACTCCCCACCTCCCCAGTTCTGGAAGAAACCTGTAACTAAGTTCCCCATACTGTGGGCCCTGTTCTTTGTTCTTTAAAATTCACTCCAACCCACTGGTGGTCCCCTCCTCCAGCCTGGCCTCAGAAAGGGGCGGGAGAAGCCGCTGCAGGCGTTACTGGAAACCCAGACGGGGCAAAGAAGTTGCAAGGCAGAGGCCCCCTGCTAGGGGCCTCTCATTGTTTATGCTCCCCAGATCTTTGGTCCAGATGGTTGCTGGGGGTAAGGATGAAAAGTATCCCAACCGCTCCAGCGAGAATGGACGAGAGGTTTCAAAGTAAAGACACCCACAAGAACGCTTTCCTCATTCAATGGCTCAACTACCTGGGCAAAGAATGGGAGCTGTTGGCTCAGAGAGAGACGTGGGAGCCGGTCAGATTGCAAGAGGTGAGACTGTTGGAGGGGGGAGAAGTTCCCAGCCAAGAAGAAAAGAGAAAGCATTGTATTTCCTTTCCATTCTCCCTGGGAGAAAAAGAAAACTTCCGAAGCCCAGGCCGCAGCATTTCATTGGGCAAACACAAGGAACCTGGTTTGAGTTAACAGAGAGGGAGCGCCCCTCCCCCCCGCAGGCACACACACACACACACACACACACACACACACACACACGCAAGTCCTACGGTCTTCTCCCAGGAAGCTCAAACCGCCATCCACAACGCCAGTCTGGGACACTCACCCGCAGCAACCAGGGGACCCCCAACGGGCAGAGGCAGTTCCAGCAGGCGACGCCACACACACAGGAGGGCAGATTTGTTCCTCCGGCTGGGGGCGCTCCAGGAATGGGGAGGAGCCAGACACCAGGATCTCAGCTTCAACGTCCCAGGCGAGCGGTTAGATCATTAACCAACCGCTACCTACTCGCCCCCGAACAAGCCTTGAGCACCATGCTCGGGGCGTACCGGGCACGCGCAGCTCCCCCCCCCCCCCCCCCCCCGCCGAACGCCCCGGCCCACGGTTCAAAGGGACGGCCAGCTCGGCCCAGCCCCACCCGGCTGCAGGGAGCCTGCGCCTCTTGCGGCCTTGGCCTCCAAGTCTTCCGAGGGAGGCGGGCGGGCGGGCGGGGCGGGAGAGGGAAGGGCTCGTGCAGGCGGGGAGTGTTTGCTATTGCCTTCCAGCCGGTTCCTGTCCTCCTTTCTCCGAGGCCGGGCGACACCGGGTGGCGCCTACTGCAGCGTGTGTACGAACCGGAGAGCATGAGTACAACACCCCTTTGCCACTACCGACGAACTCGGCTGTTATTCATGGAGAAGTCTGTGCACACACACCCCCCTCGGGGCGACCGCAGCGATTGTTGTGTGCCTGTCCACAGCAACACACACCCCATTCCTGCGCGAGGGGGTGGACCTTTAAAACCTGCCCACTCACCCCACCCCGAGCAGCTCCCATGGCCAGATCGGGGCGTCCTGGCGACGCTGAGCCCTGTTGTTACCCCCTCCTCCGCAAACGATTTTCTGGGTGTGTGGCTCTGGTCCCAGCCATGCCTACCCACGCTGGACACAGAGGGGTGTGTGTGCGTCCCCTGCTCCTGGGTCCTCGTCCTCCCCGGGTCTTTCTACCTTCTTCACGTCACCAGGGGGTCTCGAGCCTACTCAGGCCTCACGCGGCCGCAGGGCCACAAGCCGATGCTCATCGCCTACCTCGGTCCCCAGCTCCCCGAGCGCGGAGCAGAAGCCGCTGTGCGCTCCCCTCTGTGTGCTTGGCGCCTCGGCAAGGTTGGCGCCCCATGGCAGCGCCGGCGTTTGTTTCCTCTGGCTCCCCAGGCTCCGAGTGTGCTAGAAGCTGGGACACTCCCCTCCCAGGCTCCTCCCAACCCTCCCTCCCATACCCCTCCGCGCTGATGTCACTCCGCCGCAGCAGCCAATGGCTGTCACGGAACTCAGCCCGGCTGCTCGGCCTCTCAGGTTCAAATCTAAAAAACCCCGAGACGCCCCCCCACAAGCTCCGAGTAGGGTAGACAGAGCAGGGCTTGCTTCGAGGAGTCGCGCCCCACGGCCCTCAGTCCTCTGCCGCGGAACCCGACGAGGAGTCCGCAGAAACAGGAGCGCACCCCCTCCCCAGGGCCCAAAGGGAAACTCTATCTAGGCTCTTCGAGTTTTGAAACAATGGTAAGAAAACAACTCCCTCCAGGACCAGTTACCCACTTCTGGACCAGGGACTCTGGGAACACTGGGGAGCAGGAGTTTGGACTACGTGGATTCTATCCCCATCTGGAGCGCGGGAGAAGCAGGTCCGTCCGAGTCCACACCCGGACTGGGCAGTGGAGAGGCTTTTCTTTATCAGCAAGGTGACCTGGCTTTGATCGCTCTGTCTGGTGACCGCGGGGCTCTTAAGTACCCTCCCAGGGAACCTCCTAGAATTAACTCCAGCGTTCTTGGGCCGGATACTTGGAGCTGCAACCATCACAGAGTTCTCTTTGTAGAGGAAGCCCCAGCTATGAATGATCATTAAAGAAATAAAAGCCGGTGGTGAAATAGTCAATAAAGAGGAACCGGAGCCGGCCCAAAGTGAAAGTACCCCAACTACTTAGTGGAAGTGGGCGTGGAGGTGGTGTAGGCCCCAGCCTCCATTTCCCCAGCGTCGCCTTAGGGTCCCTCAGCTCCTTCACCGTCCTTTTCTGGAAACCCTGTCTCTCAGGATCTCACCTCCTTTCCCCATCTGTCTATGAAAACTTCAAACTGTACATGTCGTGTGAAAATCAAACCTAAAAGTTGAGTGCCTGGTCTAGGTGTCTAGCTCCCGCTGCGGAGCACGAGGCTAGCTCACACTGTTCTCAAGCCCCGCACCACCAACAACCAAAGAGATGTCAAGATTAGTGAAACTAAAAAACAAGGTTCAAAGCAACTTGGGACAGAGATAGCCCTGAGGATCTGACCCCGATTGGGTTACCACGGGGAACTTATACCTCCTCCCCCTAGTCTGACTGTCCTTGCATGGGTTCCTCACCTAACCTCACCTGGAGGTTGTCAAGATGGAGAAACCTGGTTTAGAATAGAGAGCAGTGTCAGAGTCAGGGCTGTGGGTCAGAGGTGGCCGTAACAGGGCGTTAGGACAAACCAGTTGGAGAGAGTTGGGTTGCCTCGGGCTTAAACTTTCAACTCTGCCCCTCACTGGCCCACAAGCCTTCCCGTCTCTAAAATGGGTACAGCACCTGTTGGCATTCCTTCTAGGCTCCGCCCCACAGTTACCTGGCAATAGCCAGGTGTGCCTGCCTCACTATAAAAGGAGTCCTCACTCTCTTGCTCTTTTTACTCCCTCTCTTCTCTCTCTCTCTCTCTCTCTCTCTCTCTCTCTCTCTCTCTCTCTCTCTCTCTCTGCCTTTCTCTGTCTCTACTCCCTCAACTCCCCTCCCTATGCCCTAAATAAACTTTATTCTATACTATACCGTTGTGTGGCTGGTACCTCAGGGGAAGGGATGCCGCAGCTTGGGCCGCAGAGGCACCCCCTTCCCCCACACCATACAGCACCTCCACCAAACAGAACCCTGGCTTCTTTTTCCTTTTTATAAAACACAACAGTGGTGCTGAGTGACTCAGATTTCTAAAACACAACAGCACCCCCCTGCTTCCCCTATGAACTCTGGCAGATGCAGGCTCTGGATGGCCTTCCCCGATGGTGCCATACCCCAGCAGTTCCCTGTTGGGCGCCTCCCTGTGCACCTAGAGTCCCAGGGGTTTTTCATCTGTTCATATTAAGCCTTAATTAGATCCATAAGTGCGTTTCTGATTGTCTCAGATTCTTCTCCCTTATTTCATGTTCAATACATCATTCGGAAATGCCAGCCCATCTCAAGAACCAGCTATCCATCCCAATTAGGGAAGAGGGGACATTGTAGGAAGAGGGACCCTACAGGCTCCGTCTTCTCAGGTCGCTCTTGCAGGTTTTCCCTAGATCCTAGGTTTGTCTTCCTTGTTTTTGGTCTCTCGGAAATTTCTCCTCATTTTATTCAAATTCAAACTCCTTCCACAAACATTTGAAGTTAGAGGAGAAGTTCCTCCCCCCCACACCTTAGAAAGTAAAAGTCACCCGGGTCCCAGCCCTCAGATTGCCAGGTGGAAACTGGATCCTCTCCGCGGGGGATCTAGACCCATCTTTGTCAATGAGAGGAAGACCAAAAGAAAATGCTAATTTCTCCCTGCTGTTTACAACCGGGTAACAGCGATCTCTCTCCTAAAACTCCACTGAAGTTAAACTTCACCCCAATGTTTTTTGTTTCTTTGTTTGCTTGTTTGTTTTTTAGGCTGTTGCCATCTGTGTCTAGTCAGGGGTAAATCAGCTAGACTAACTTTGGAGACTTGACTGCCTAGCTGGAAACTTCTGCAAGTGCTAAGCCCCAGAGTTTGGGGAGAGATTTAAGGTCTTAACTGCACCTTAAGGTGTGACCTGACCTATAATCCTTTAGGCCTAGGCAAATGTCTCAGCCTGTCTTTGGAGTCTGAGCATGTGGGATTCCTGCAGCTGTGTGGGCCTGTCGCTCCGAAGCCCGCCCCCGAGCCCAGGCATACCTCTTGGTGTTAACAGTGAGACATTAGTTCACCTTCTGTTGCCACAGCCTTAAATGGATTCGCTAATCCCATTCTTTACAGAGAAGTTGAAAACCACACTCTCTGATGTTTACCATACAGTGTGGTCCCTTCTTTGCAGTGCTGGGGATTGAAGCCAGGTCTGGTGCCTGCTAGGTAAGCACTCTGCCGTGAAACCACACACCCCTGGCCCTTGCTTCCATTTTGGAATCAGCTAGCCTCCAGAGCCCCTTCCTGTGAGAACACTTATTTTCACATCTCTTTCTATGCTGGGCCCTTCTACCACTGAAACAAAACAGACCTGAGATCCTATCACAGCATCCTCTTGAGAGCCTGGTGTCTGGAAGTTTGAGGTTGGAGTGGCCTGGATGACCCAGGTCAAGAATTGTCACTGTCCTCTGGGGCCTGGCTGGGTTCTGGGCTTATTCACTTTCTGGCCTCAGGACAAAGGCCTTTTCAATTCCTGAGTTCCCAGTTGTTGGGATCCACCTGGGGACCTCCAAGGTTTCAGCTGACCTCTGCAGAGCATCTGGGAAATTCCCCAGGATATCTAAATAGTGCATAGGTCTCAAGATAGGGTCTGCCCTGACCCCACTGTGGCGTTAAAGTACCACATCTGGGGGGCTCTTTGGCCCAGGCTCCAGGCCTATGACACATCTGGGGTCTAGGTGATCAGGACTTCCTAGGAAGCCGGACAAAGTTCTCTCCTAGGTCTCCTGGAAACAGTGGGGAGTCTGACTCACAGTTTGAATTGAATCCTCAAGATTGTAGACAGGCTGAAACAGAGTTCTTCAAAGAATTGAAGTATCCGGAGGCCAGCAGCTGGCTTCTCTCAGTTTCTGTAGGTGACGCCTCTTTGGCCATGGTGGAGTGTAAACATGGGGGCGGAGAAAAATCTAACACTAGTAAAAGGTAGTGTCTGAATGTATAACGCCCAAGGTACACACAATGAACCCAAGGTGTTTCCCGTAGCCTACTGCTGCTGCCTTGGTTCTGAACACGAAGCACCTGCTCTTTGGCACAGTGCAAGCTATAACACCACAAAATACCAGCAAATACCTCCGCTCAGATTCTAGACAATTGTACGTTATGAATTGCAATGTGTTTACTGTACACACACAAAGCTTTCTGCTCTTACAGACGAATAATGGATTACTACAAATGACTTTTTTCTCTCTCTCTGTAGCCCTGGCTGTCCTCAAACTCACAGAATTCTGCAACATTTGTAACTTTAATATCTGGGATCCAACACACATGTTGCGCAGACACGTATGTAGGAAAACCACTCATACACATAAAACAATTTTTTCAAGATAAGGTTTTTTTTTGGTAGCTCTAGCTGTCCTGAAACTCAGTCTGTAGACCAGGCTGCCCATGAACTCACAGAGATCCTCCTGTCTTTGCCTCCCAGGTGCTGGGATTAAAGGCATCTGCCACCATCACCCAGCAAACATTAAATTTTAAAAATAGTTTTCCAGCTTTTGATGTCCTATCTACTGCAAGAATGAATCAGACTGCCAACATTCCAGAAAATGTCGACATCACTCTGAAGGGACACACAGTCCTTGTGAAGGGCCCCAGAAGAACCCTCCGGAGGGACTTCAAGCAATC